CTTTGATTGAGACAATGTATGCTATTGTGGAGGTTGATAAGTTGCTTAAAGGCTCTTGCACAGCACACCTGTCAAAAACACTTCAAAAGTTTTCTCGGCAAGTTTTGGACGGCCTGATGGGATTCGCAGGGATCGGTTTCCTAGATGCTTTCTGAAGCCGCTTTTCATGGTAATCTGATGGATTGGAGGGCGCCGATTTATAGTAGCCTGTGCAAATGATCTTGCCGGGGACCTTAAATGAGATGAGCTCAGAAACTGAGGACTGAAACTTTTTATGCTCTATGCTTTCAAATACTTTTAATATTCTCTTCACCCTGTATTGGGCCTCTGTGCACATTACTTCTGTTTCTTTGTAAAGGCGGCGGAGTAGATCAATACTGGAGTAAATGCCACAATTCAGATGTGAAATTTCTTTAGAACCCGTATCTGAGACGGTTGCGCAGTCTGCGCTGACGCGGTGACCAATCTGTCTTGATCTCCTACAATCCGAAGCCGGAAACTGCAAGGAAACCAGTATGCTCGACAAGCTTCGAAAGCATGGAGATCCAGTAAGCTCGCTAATGTGAGTATCCTTGACCATTTTACTTGCAGTTATTGTTGATATACTTGCTTAGATTTTCAATGACAAGCAAGCTCGAAGTGTACATTCGTTCTGTGTCCAGCATGAGTGGGATCTAGGACGATGTAGGACAAGGTGAGAAAAAGGGAGTGTATCGTTTTACATGCTCCACAGAAGCAAATGTTTAGTACGGATCCAAATTTCTCCATGGCCCCTTCAATGCTTCACCTTGCTATTGTAGTGCAACTAATTCCATTTGTTCTATAGTACTTTGCGGTGTTTTCAATATGAAGTGGTAATGGCATCCGCTGTAGCAGAATTTTTGTTCGTTACTGCGTTACTGCGAATCTTCACGTCAGTGTGGCCGCCGCGCGACCGTTCGCATCGTTGTTATAGGCCTTTACGCGATTTATGACTATCTCATTATAGTGGCGATGACGATTCGGCGAAGCATGGACAAACCTATAATTATTTATTTTATTGGGTAAAAGAGCTAGGAAAAACAATGTGGCCTACTTCATGGGACTTATTCCCAGCAGGAGTTTTGCCTTCTATATATTAGGTCGTGAAGAAAGTTCTTGCGGTTTTTGACGCCCAATTTTTA